AGGTTCCACCCTCCTCTACTCCAGCTTTCACACTGCTGCTGGCCAGTCTTCTTCCAGCTGCTTCTGCCTTATCCTGCCGGCTCAGAAGCCTTCTGGCCTTCCACACCCAGTACCACCTCCCTTTCTGGTTTCATTCCCCTTCCTCCCTTGTACACATGCTGCCCTCCGGCCAAACCTGCCTGCCTGTTCCAGGCCTTTATGCTCTGTTGCCTTTCCTCATTGTGGTTCCTCTGCCTGGGCAGCCTGTCCTCCGTATAGACCTGGCCCCTGTGAACCCCTCCATGGTTCAGGGCTGTGCTTGCAGGTCCAGCTGACCAGGGTTGGAAGTGAATTGTATGACCTTAGGCAAGTGGCTTAGTCTGTCTTTGCAAGAATAATAAGTGCTCCCGAGTTTGCACGCAGCGCAAATAAGAGAAGTAGGTAAATCGCGGAGGACAGCACCTGACACAAGTTACCCCTCTCTTCCTCTAAGAAGTCTTCCCTGAGCAACATCACCATTTCAAAGGATTTCTCCCTCCTTAAACATTGAGAGCACAGAACATGTCCAAATTTCAGCCATCTCCCGACTCTTCACACAGTGTTATAGGTATAAACTCATGGTATATTATTTTATGTTGCTTAAAGGAATTTTAAGGACTTTTATTTATTTATTTATTTTGTGATCAGGGTTTGTAATGATCACAAGCTTGAGTACTTGGTCGATCAGTATAAATAAACATTTATGGAATAAATCTAAATCTTACCTATCACAGGTCCTCCCTCAAGGCCCTGATGTGGTTTCTAGCATTTCTGACCAACATGGGTTTCTCTTTTTTTCTAACAGCCTATACCACTTGTCTCTCTCAACTGCCATAGAGCTTGACCACCTTACTGGATATTGGTCTCTTGTTGCCAGTTTACATGTTTATGTCCCTTATAATTCCTTACAGGTTGCAGGCAACCTTTAAGGGCTCAGCAAATGTGGTAACTTCACTGAGAGTTCTCTCTGCAGCCAGGATCTTGTCATTGTCCTGGAGTCTGGAGAAATGTAGTTTAAACTACTGTAACTCGTCTGAGGAAATCTGAAGGAAAGAGAATGGCCCAGGACAAGCCTGGGAACAGAAGTTGAGTAGTAAGGTCCAAGGAAGGATTTGTTAAGAAGAAGCTGGAAGCACTTGGCCTCTATGGGACATAAGTACTGCTTCACTGGGAGATATTTGGGGAATAAACTTTTTACTTCTTTCTTGTAGCATCTCTCATATGAGATTCCATCTTTACTGGTCTCACTGCTGCCTTGACAGCCAACAGCTGTGCTCAGTAGAGCCCCACATCATGTGCTAGAGGGAAGAAGGAAAGGGGCATCTGTACTCTCCTTGTCCTTAGGAGGCCCGGTCTGATGGGGGAAAGACCCGTATTAGTGTTTGGGGCTGCTATAACAAATTAACAAAAATTGGGTGGTTTAAAACAACAGGAATTTCTTCTCTCACAGTTTTGGAGGCTAGACATCCAAAATCAAGTTGTCAGCAGGGCCATGCTCCTGAAGTTTCCAGGGAAGAATCCTTCCATTCCTCTTCTAGCTTCTGGTGGTCGTGGTCGTCTTGATGTTCCTTGGCTTGTAAACATCACTCTAATCTCTGCCATCATTTTCACATAGCCTTCTTCTCCCTGTGTGTTTCTGTGTCCCTCTGTCTCCACATGTCCTTACAATCCAGCCTGACCTCATCTTAACTAATGCACCTGCAAAGACCCTATTTCCAAATGAGATCACATTCATAGGTACAGTGGATTTGGACCTGAACATATATTTTTTTTGAGGAGGACACAGTTCAATCCACAACAGAGCTTATGTAGTTAAAGAGTTGAGTCTGGTAGGAAGAGAAAAAAACATATGTGGAAAAGTGGACTTAACACATCCAAACATTACATAAACTAGATACAAAGGAACATCTCAGTAAAGCCGTGAATAACCTATTTTATACCATATATATATATATATACTACATGTATGTATATATTATGTATGTTTGTGTTTTTTCCAGATAAAGACTCAATGTAAAAACAAACAATAAAACACTTAGAAAAATATGTAAGAGCCTACTAGGGGCAGGAGAAACCTTAAGTAAACAGAGAGGCTGTAAAAGACACTATGGACACACTTAACTATATAAGGCAATTGACAATCATAAGAACAGATATGAAGATACTCGGAACTCACTAGCAGTCCAGGAAACACAAATTAAATAATGATGAAAGGTGTCTACGGCTGTGCCACTCTGAACAAGCCCGATCCTGTCTGATCTCGGAAGCTAACCAGGGTTGGGGCTGGTTAGTACTTGGATGGGAGACCATCTAGAAAGACCAGGTGCTGTAGGCATAAAAAATTAAAAAATAAGAGATTGTAAGCTGACAAGGTCCTTGCAATCTGTGGGGTCAACCAAGGGTTGCCTTGCCTAAAATAAATAAATAAATAGAATAAAATAATGATGAAATGTCAGTACATACATGAGACCCAATAAAATGACAAGCCATAACTCCTGTTGTTGGTGGGGATGCTTTTGTACATTGTCAGCCAAAAGGTGAATTATTGGAGCCTTTTTAGAAAGCGAGATGACAACCTTACTTGGATCCTGATAATAACAACTGCAAGAAAACTTTTTTGTTTTGATACAATAGGGAAATACGAGCATTAACTAGCCATTTGATGATATTAAGGAGTTATCTTTAAAATTTTAGGTGTGATCATAGTATTATGGTTAATTTTTAAAGAGTCTTTTCTTTTTCTTAGAGGTTCATGCTGAATATTTACTGATAAAATTATATAACACCTGGGAATTTACTTTAGATAATCCAGGAAGCAAGGGGATCAGTGGCTGATGGTATATATAAAGCAAAGGTCAACACACTGCAGGTACAGCTGAATCCAGACCACCACCTGGTTTTGTAAATAAAGTTTTATTGGAATGCAGCCACACTCATTCAGTTATATATTCATTTAGTATCACTGAGGATGCTTTTGCGCTACAGCAGCAGAGCTGAACAGTTGCAATGGAGATCATAAGGCCTGCAAAGCCTAAAATATTTACATATTAACTGCTCTTTATGGAACACCTTTGCCACTCATTGTCCATCAGGAAGCATGTTTGGCTACAAGTTTATAATGGCTGATGCTGGGGACTGACAATGTGAAGGCTTATTAGATTAAAAAAAAATCTTTGGCCCAATAATCTCACTAATAGGAATCTCTTAGAAATAAAAGCATCAGTTAATAAGAATATATGTATAAGGATATTGTCAACATAAGAAACTTCTAAACCTGTAGAGAATTTTAATGAGTTTCTTTGAACCAAACTGATGACAATTGCCAGGAAGCAAAATCACAATGGATTAAGAAAATGCTCCGGAGAATGGCAGTTTTGCAGCTTATTTTATACATTAGAATCAAAGAAGACACAAGGAGGGCTCCTTGGTGGTAGATTAAGGGGGCGGGAGAAAGCAAAGTGGGGAGATCTCTGGGACTGGATAAAAAGTAAACCGGAGGGACACACACTTCTTTTACATTGATGAGTACAAGAGAGTTAAGAATTAACATTTACAGCGCAGAGAGATGGTATGGGGAGGACAAGATAACCATGAGGGGTTCTGTGGTCTCAGGCTCTGGTGCAATGGGTTGGTTGTGCCCTGAGGGGCCTAGAAAAAAGGGATTACTCTGACATTCCAAGGATCTGTTATCTTAGATGCAAAAAGACAACAACAGGCTTACTTAAGGTAAAGGTTGACCTTTGTCAAGAAAGCTACAGGCCCAGGACGTGACTACCCACCATGACCTGCTTTTACTTAAAAATTTTTATGTTCAGACCATCCTATGTGGTTACTTTCAGTCTCTGAGATTGTAGAGGCCCGCCACATAGGCCTCCGCTGAGCTTGTCAGGTTTAGTATGTGGCCTTTTTTTTTTCATCCACAATGTTTACTAGAATAGTTTACAGTGGTTAAAAAACTGGAAATAAATCGCCTCGCAACACGAGAATGCCTGTATAAATCATGTCCACCTGCACCATGGAATATGATGTCGTCTTGTTAAAGAATGAACTAGAGTTTTACTGGTCCGCTTGGTGAATTTTTCATATTTTCAAGTGGGAAAACAAAATGTAGAATAGTCTATATGTGACAGTCATCTTTTTTATAGAACAGTGGCAAAATTAACCCCTTTGGTATATAGGAGTATGTGTGTGTGTCTTCATGCTTGTAGAAGGCGGAACAGGTTGTTAACGTGGCTTGGGGTGGAATGACATCTGTGAAAGGGAAGCAAAGCAAAACAGAAAAGGAAAAACCTGTACTTAAAAAAGTCTACATGATATGATCCCATGTATGTATTTGTATAAGTTAAATTCATATGTATACGTGCTTTGCTAAGTTAAGAAGAGTTATGATTTTAAAACGACTGGGAAGGAGTGAATATTTTTAATGCCCTCGATGTAGTAAGGAAATAAAAGGGAATTTTATTAGGACTTGGCAAGTGCCCAAGAATAGGAAAATGAGACAGGAGTCACCTGGACCAGCTACGGAAGGCTCCATGGAAGGTTCTAGCAGTGAGAGAGGAGCGGCTGGATGATCTTTGGGCCACAGTCAGTCCCTGATCTCAGCGCCTCTTCCTCCTGCTCCCAGAGAAATAATGTTTCCCTGGGGGATGAAAAAGCATCCCTTTGTGCAGCCTTTAATTGCCATGTTGTTGTGCCAAGTGAATGAGTGGCAGGCGGGCATGGCAGCTGGGCACAGCCAATGCCAGGCAGCAAAGCCCGCTGCCCTAGGACAGCCTGGGCCAGCTGGCCTGGGAGCGCTGCCCACCTCTGCCCCTCATCCCCCAAGGCCTTGCATGGGACTGTGGGGAGGAGGGGTCTGTGGAGAGGGAGAGAGAAGTCATTGGTGTGAGAGAAAAGGGTGGGACATCTGGGAGGCTCTCGGCCACTCTCAGAAGCTTATTCATCTCATCCTTCTTTCCCCGCTCTCCCTCCTTGTTTTTCAGACTGTCAGCATCAATAAGGCCATTAATACACAGGAAGTGGCTGTAAAGGAAAAACACGCCAGAAATATCCTTTTGGATGTTGCTTGGAATACCGATCCTGAGGGGGGTCCAATTGTGGGGTCAGGGTGAGGCGTACTTGCTCAGCTGCAGGAAGGGAACCCCCACACAGGCCAGGCCCCTGCAGGGTTTGAGCATCCTCATCGGCAGCAGCTGGCCTCAGAGACCACAGCCCATCAGGGTGGAAGGCACCAAAATGGCCTCCTAGCCTGGTCCTTCGAAGTTTACTGAAGATCCTGCTCCCCTCCCAGGACTTTAGCTTTCCAGAACTGCCTAGTCTTTGAAGTTACTTTCTTTTGAGATGCTTTCTCAGGGCATAGCAGGGATTTTCACCTATGCCATCAAGGTACTCCATAGGGCCACCCGACCACCCCCTTGGGGACATGATCATCTCAACTTCTGTGAGCATGACAGCAGAACAGAGGTCGGAGTGATTGGCCTTAAGCCAATGCAGGCATTCGCCCTAAGCCAGAAGGGGAGAAGAAAGGGACCTCAATCAGGGTGGTTTAGGGAACTGGTAACTTGAGGGTTTCCACCACACCAGGTGGGCAGAAGCGCTGGGTGTCCACCACCACGAGACTGTGGCTTTGGAGGGAAATATAGGGAGCACTCCAGATGGTGGATCCCTGGGGATCTGCTCCTGACATGTGGAGTCCAGGAGCTGGAGGGCTGAATTTCCCAGAGCCAAAGGAGAGGCTGCCAGTGGGGCTGAGCCTTGATCTGTGTGTGTTCCAGGAGTGGAGCAGGGCGTGGGTCAGCACAAGCGGAGGCTGGGCTTCTGTCAGGGATGGACAGCTCCTTCTTGCCTGGGCTCATCATGGTGGCTGCACCACAGTCAGGCCAGAACATCTTGTCTTGAAGCCATCCCACCTCAGTCCCCGGAGGAGACCCTCCAGGTTAGATCCCTAGAACTGGCAGGCCCTCAGGAAAGACTGCTAACAGAATGTGCTGCTCTTTACTGGAGTGAAAGCAGCTTGTCTTTAGCAGGAGGATGCTTTGGTTGGAATTAGGGCTTTGCTGTGGGATGAAGGCTATAGAACCTTTCCTGCGTACCCCAGAAGCCTGCCCGACTGTGAGCCTAGCTAGACCTTACCCTTTTATTCCCAGAAAGACACAGTCCTTTTGCTTTATTAAGTCAAGAAAACCAAACCCAGAAGTCTTCATTATAAGTGGCCCAATTGATTTTTTCAGAGGGAATTGCCCAGTCCTGCTAAGGATTTGTGATCCATCTGATTGGAAATAGGAAGTAAGAGAGAGATGGTTGTCATAGGCTGGTGTGCTCCTCTGGATGGGGAATTGGCACAAAGAGAACCAGGCCTACAGTGGCAGGGTCACGTCACACCCCTCCAGGGAGGCTGCCTGGGTCAAAGAAGGGACACTGGAGCGAGGGTCTAGAATCTCACCTTGAGCTCTCTAGCTCACTCTGGGCCTTGAGTGGGCCCCGTGGGGCCTCCAAAAGCTATAGTTGTCTTGTCTGTTAGATGAAAGAGTTGGCCGAAGATTTCAAAGTTCTCACGTTCCAGTTCTAACATTCTGTGCGTCTCTCTGATTCACAATTTCTAAATGGTAGATAAATGTTGAAAAGATCAGCTCCTTACAGTAGGGTTTTAAAGCCTCGTTAATGATATCACGAAACATTCTTTATTGATTCTTTTAAAGAGCATCAGCCACCCTGATGCTTCTGACTTCAGAAATGCCATGCAGACAACTGTTATCCTGGGCACCTAATTGGTGAAACAGGTTGCCCCCTCCTCTCCATAGTATCCACTTCCAGAGGGCCAGGGACTGAGTCTTATTTTTCTCTCTGTCCCTGCGTGCATTTACAATGCCTAACACATCATGGGTGCATTAAAATGCTTATAAAAATCAAAGATGGACGGAAAGGTCTTCTTGCCTCTTTCAAAGTTGGGATGCTCAGCTAGTTTTATACCTGCTCTGGCTTCCGTCTCGGCAAACTGCTCTGAGGTAAAATAACCACAGTCAGCATGAGAAGTCAGCACATGAGAGAGAAGGCCGCTACCCATCTCTCCTCTTAGCTTCCTTCTAGACTGAGGACCTGTGTTTTACGTGAAAATGTAAGTTATTTCAGAAATCACTCTAAGACCAAAAGCTAATTTCAGCTTCCAGACCCAAGAGTCCGTTTTCAAGCCCATTCTTCTCAAGATGCAAATTTCAGTCTAGGGAAGGAATTTCATGATACCTTGCAGCTCAGAAGCAAAACAGCACGTGTTCTAGTTGAATCATACAGTTTGTGACTTGAGAAAAGTCTTTGTCCTAAATGGCACTGTGCTTCTTTCTTGAGCCTTAGTAAAGAACCTAAAGTTCTAAGGAAAAAACTATACTTGGGGTTGATGGTGCCCAGTTACTGGGCATATGAGGTCTGTTTAAGTAGAAAATGACAAAAGAAATGTAAAAAGGCCTCACTAATTACAGAGGTCTGGAGTAGTAACTTAAAGGCGTGTGAGGCCAAGTGGACGTTTATTACACTTAAACCGTGTCAGGCAGTCCCTGGGTGATGGGTATGGTTTGGACTTGGCCTCTCAGGAGGACGTGGCCCCAGGATTCCACATACAGGAGTTCAAGGTGTTGGCAGGTGAAGGCACCCCTGAAATGAGGCCAGGAAGGTTTATAGAAGAGGTGGGGTGTAAGAGTCATTTTAAGTTTGGGGGAAAGACACTTTGAACAAAGACTACTGCTTTCAGGGCAAGAGCAGAGTGCCTAATGCAGTGGAGTCAGGTGCTGCTGGAAGAGGAGCCAAGGGTGCCAGTTGGCCAGGTTGTGGGGTCCCCAGGAGGGGCCAGGGCCTTTGATGAAGAGCTGAAGCATGTCCTTGCTTTTAAATAATGGATAAGGGAATAGTTTGAGAAACTGTAATGTGTTGTTGAAATGTTAGCTGTAATTACTCCCCCAAAGATCCCATCACAAGCTCAGCATACTTAGAGGAAGGGCAGAGTCCATCTTTCCACAGTGAAGCCCGAATTCCAACCAAATCATCTTCCTGCTAAAGGCAAACCAGGACCACTAATGGCCCAGAGTGCACTTGTGCAAATTAGAAATAGACACCCCTCCCAAAAGACATTGTCATCTCTGTGGAGATTGTCTAATAAAATGGATTTAATTAGAGTGAGACACTTTATTGCCATTTGCCAAAAAATTGCCTGGATAAATGTATAGATCTGTGGTGTCTTAGTTATAAGTAATGTCCCCTCCTTGGTAGTGCCACTGTGCCCTGAGCAACTACACAACCTCCTTAGTGGCCTGTTGCAGGCTTGACCCCAAGGATTGGCTTCCTGAGGCTGGGCCTGTGCCTTTGTTTTCCGTGACTCTCCCTCACCGTGTATTCTGGGCACCCACCATGAGAAAGGGGCGCAGACCTTTTGGTCTGTTGTCAACCGGCTGCCCCTTTCCAGCAATGCTGTGCTCTGCTGGAAGTTCTGCCACGTGTTCCACAAACTTCTCCGAGATGGACACCCAAATGTGAGTTACTGGGGCTGCAGGGTATGGGCAGAGGGCCAGGAACCCAAATGGAGAAAGTGTGATTGCCTGGGTCACCAAAGCCACTGTCCATTCCTGCACTGAAGATGGCAACTGCCCCCTTCTCTTGGCCTTTTGTTTACTGATTAGAGGTGGGTTTGTCTCTCTCTGGTTGGCTTCTCTGCCTCGCCTCAAACCCATCTTTTACCATCCTCTGTCTCCTTTCTTTTTCTCTAATAAGCTGTTCTCTTCCCTCCCCAGGTCCTGAAGGACTCTCTGAGATACAAAAATGAGTTGAGTGACATGAGCAGGATGTGGGTGAGTTTGGGGATGTATCCAGAGGCTACCTGTGCCCTTTATCCTCCGAGGCCACTTGGACTATAGAATGGAACAAATTCGTCTCTTTCAACTTGTTTAGGATTTCTCTCAGGAGCATTAGGGAGGGGTCAAGGGTACCCCCCAAATATTACCATGATACTCACAGTCCTACCCGGGGTCCCTGGAAGCTGAAGAGAAGTTCTAGGGCCTGGGAGCTTCTCCTGCCAATGGACCCTCATGTCACAACACTCTCTAGGCATTAAGATCCCTCAGCAGTGACATTGCCACAGTTCCCACTTCTTTCCGTCCACTAGTCCTATGTGGGCCACAGTATGTTGAGAACTACCATTCCCAATTCATAATGCCAGTGCCTTAGGATAAGGGAGGAGGTAGGTGTCAGTATCAGAAGCAGATTCTGATATCCAAGAAATATGTGTATGGATGAGGGGTAATCTGCATTTTGAAGTTAATTCCAATGTGTCTCTTTGCCCCCACTGGTTGAGAACTATAACTAGCCCTTTTCTTCAAATTGTTACCTATATCTGTCTGTACTCATAAAAATGTTAGCAATTGTGTAGTCCAGTCTACCCATTACAGATGACAAATATAGGCGTAGAGAGGAAAGTGGCTTTTCCTAAGTCACAGGGCTAGTTAACGTGAACAAAGCTAAGAGTAGTCCCCAAACCTCCCAACTGGTGGCTAGAAAGCTTTCGTTATACGCCTAAACTTGTAGAGCTTAGGTCTTTTTCCTTTTTGTTAGAATTTTCCTGGTAAGTCTTTTCCCCTCCTTTTACTTTTGACTTTTCTATATTCTTATGTCTCAGAAATAACACTTGTAAATAGCAATTAGTTGGGTTTTGTCAATGATTTATTAAAGATGACAGTCTTTGTCTTTTAACTATGCATTAGCTCCATTTATATTTATCATAATGTTTAGATTATCATATGTTTAGATTTATATTTCTTATCTTATTTTGTGCTATTTGTTCCATCTGGTTCCATTTCTTTTTTTCTCATTCCTCATCTTCTTTTGGATTATTTTTTTCTCATTCTATTTGTCCCTCATTGCTAGTTGGGAGATTAAAAAAACTCTGCTTTTATGTTTTATTTTTTGGTATGTTATCTAATAATTACTAAATGTGTGTTTAGTTTATCAAGGTCTAAAATTCATATCTTTATCTGTTTCCTGTATCACACAAAGATCATAGAATATTTTAACTTTGTTCACTCCCTCTCAACTTGTATGTCATTGTCATGTATCTTAATTTTGGTTAAGTGTTTCTTTTTAAATCCTATAAAATATTTTACTTTAATTGTTTTATTTTATGCTCTTTATTTCTTCTTACATCTCAGGCCTTTCACCTGAGATCACTTTCTTTCTACCTGAATTATTTCCTTTAGAACTTTCTTGAGTGAGAGTGTGCTGGTGGCCGATAACCATTTTTACATGTTTGAGAATGTCTTTATTTCACTTTCATTCATGGAAGATATTTTCTCTGGGTTTAGAATTCTGCTATGATAGTTATTTTCTCTGATCACATGGAAGATATTATTCAAGATAACCTTCCATTGACTTCGGGCTTCTATCATTTTCATTAAGTCTGCTGAAGCCAACCTGTGTTTTTTTCCTGGCCATGTTGAAGACCTTAGCATGTGTCTAGGTGTGAATTTATTTTGGACTCTTTGGACTTCTTAAATCTGTGGGCTAGTATCTTTCATCGGTTATGAAAAATTCTCATTGTTTCTTCAAATATTGCCTTTGCTCCTTCATTTTGTCTTTTCCTCTGAGATTTTGTTAGATGTATGTTAGACTTTCTCACTCTCTCTTCCATACCTTTAAACCACTATTTTTTTTTCTACCTGTTTGTCGCTATACTTCATTCTGGATAATTTCATTAGATCTGGCTTTTAGTTCACTTGTTACGTCTTCATCTGGGTCTAATCTGTTATTAAATCTCTAAATAAGGTTTTCAATTTTAGTATAATTTTCACTTCTTGGAGTGCTTTTTTTTTTTTCCAAATCTGATTGGCATTCTTTATATGTCCTGCATATATTTTAAAAGTCTCTTATTTATTTAGACATATTAGACATAATGATTTTGAATATCGTTTTTTATACTTCCATTATCTAAAGCCGTTAGAGATCCGTTTCTGTCATCTATTGTTTTTGATGAATTTTGCTTATGCTATGTAGCTTTATTTCTGTGCGTAGTTATTTCTTACTGTGAGCTGCTCGTTTTCCTTGGAATTTTATTTGTGGGAATTCTTTGGTGTCTGTAATGAAGGCAAGTTAGTCCAGAGAGAATTGTCATTTGCTTATATTGAGATCATTCTAAATTCTCAGCTTAAGGTTTTGTCAATTCTGGGCAGAATCCCTTAAGGACTGGCTCATGGGTCCAGTTATCAGAAACAGTTTTCCCTCTCTCTGATCACAACAGTGGTTTGAGGTGGTAGATATATGTGTCTGTATTTTCTTTTTCTTTCTTTTTTTTTGCAGTCCTCAGGGAGGACTCTTTCAGTGCAGGAGAGTGAATGTGTGTTATTTTCAACCTATTCTTTGTTCCCCTGTACTTAGGAAGCAGTCTCTTGGCTCTTCTGCTAGACTCTCAACTTGGGTAGGCCAGAGCCTTGCCTCCTGTTCATGGATTGGCCCTTGAGGCCCAGAAAATCAAAGTTTAGGTTCACCTGGTATGGCAAAATCTCCCCTTCCTCCCAACTTTATCACCCTGGCATTCCATTTACTTTCCCAGTATCTATATATACTCAGTCCCCTGCCTGAAGATTCCTTATTCTCTTGTTAGTTCATTCAGGCCTTCAAAAAATTTTAGTATTTTGCCCAATATTGCTAATAGTTTTTAGTGGGAAGGTCAACTCAGGTACCTAACCTGCCTTGTTATTCAAAATATAATTCCTTTAGGTCTTTTTTTCCCGTGTGTAGTCTGTCTCTTCATTCGCCCAAGAGTTTCTGAAGTTAGAAACCTCTTTTACCTTATTATTTTTTAAATTAAGACCTTACCTTTTAAAGCAGTTTTAGGTTAACAGCAAAATTGAGTAGAAAGTACAAAGATTTCCCACAGACCCCCTGCCCCTACCCCATGCACACCCTCCCCTATTATCAACATTTCCCACTAGAGTGGTATATTTGTTACAACTGGTGAACCTACATTGACACATCATAATCACCTAAAGTTCATAGTTTACATTACAATTTATTCATGATGTTGTATATTCTATGGGCTTAGACAAATGTATAATGACGTGTATCAATCATTATGGTATCATACAGAATATTTTCACTGACTTAAAAATCCTCTGCATTCTACCTATTCATCCCTACCCCGTCCTCCCACATGTGACCCCTGGCAACCACCAATCTTTTTACTGTCTCATAGTTTTGCCTTTTCTAGACTGTCATATAGTTGGAATCATATAGAATGTAGCATTTTTAGACTGGTTTCTTTCATTTAATATGTATTTAAGCTTCCTCCATGTCTTTTAATGGCTTGATAGCGCATTTCTTTTTAGCACTCAGTAATAGTCCATTGTCTGGACATACCACAGTTGATTTATCCATTCACCTACTGAAGGACATCTTGGTTGCTTCCAAGTCTGGGCAATTATGAAAAAAGCTGCTGTAAACATCCATGTATATGTTTTTGTTTAGACGTAACTTTTCAACTCCTTTGTGTAAAAACCAAGGAGTACCATTGCTGAATCGTGTGGTAAGAGTATGCTTAGTGTTGTAGAAACTACCAAAATCTTCCAAAGTGGCTGTACCATTTTGTATTCTCACCACTATGAATGAGAGTTTCTATTGCTCCATATCCTCAACAGCATTTGGCGTTGCAACTGTTCCGGATTATAGCCATTCTAATAGGCGTGTAGTGCTATCTTGCTTCAATTTATATTTTTCTGGTGACATAGGATATGGAGCATCTTTTCATATGTTTATTTGATCTATATATCTTCTTCGATGAGATGTCTCTTAAGGTATTTTGGCCCATTTTTTAATTAGATATTTTTCTTATTGTTGAGTTTCAAGAGTTCTTTGTGTATTTTGGATAACAGTCTTTTATCAGATGCGTCTTTCACAAATATTCCCTCTTTCCCATCTGTGGCTCATCTCCTTATTCTCTTGACATTGTCTTCTGCAGAGCAAAAGTTTTTAATATTAATGAAGTTCGGCTTATCAATTATTTCTTTATGGATGGTGTCTTTGTGTTATATCTAAGGAGTCATAATCATACTCAAGGTCACCTGGGTTTTCTTATGTGTTATCTTCTACGAGTTTTATAGTTTCGCATTTTACATGTAATTCTGCAGTCCATTCATCTTTTACTTTTTGATCCTTATGCTTTTTCATATGAAGTATAGTTGTCTTTGATGGTGAGAATATTTTTGCCTCTTTTTCTGCTTTTTTGTACTTTCTGATTTTTCTCCCGATAAATAAGTATAATATAAAAAATTGATAAAATATGGATTTTCACAGACAATGTATTATGAAATACTGTCATCTCTGGGCACTGGTGTTTTTAACCTCTGATTACTCAACTCCCTTTGAGGCATGTTTCAGTGGGGTTCTTTATTCTAGAGGATATAGATGCATTTAAAAGAAAACAGAGAAGTCAAAACTCACGGGGGAGCCATAGCTATTCAGTTTTAAGGGTTCTTTGTACCCCCACATCCCTCCCTCTTATGTACATAACTGGGAGTTGCCAGCATTGTTCTGCTAATCATAGCTTCTTCCTAAATACTCAGGACATGACTACATGGGCAGACTCCATGGGAAGGCTTATACTTCACCTGCTAGGACTAGTCCTATTTCAAATCCTCACGCATTCATAATATCGTAGATGCTTGTAGTCCTTTGGAGTCCATCTGGAAGAGGGGTTTACTCTCCTGTGCTTAGAGAAACAGAAGGAAGGAAATAGCCCATAGCCAGACTGTGATTACTAAGAGTAGGAGACTTAAAAATCTTAAAAAAGTAGCCTTGTCCGGAATTTATACAAAGGAAGTCCTCATGTTTATACACAAGATTATACTGTTAGAATGTTCACTGAAACATAGTTTATAATAAAAAAGAAAAAAACTTGCCTACAACTAAAATGTACAACAATAAGGAGTTGGTTTAATAAATTATAGTACATACTTATAATGTACTAGGTAGGCACTAAAAATAATGATACAGAAGAAAGTTTAAGAAGATAGAAAAAAAATTGCAGCATGTTAAGTAAAAAAAGAGAAGTTGATTTCATTTTATACTTGAAAATAAAGGTGGAGTCTACGGCCATGCCACCCTGAACAAGCCCAATCCCATCTGATCTCGGAAGCAAAGCAGGGTCGGGCCTGGTTAGTACTTGCATGGGAGACCGCCTAGGAAAACCAGGTGCTGTAGGCGTAAAAAAATAAAAAAATAAGAGATTGTAAGCTGACGAGGTCCTTGCAATCTGTGAGGTCAACCAAGGGTTGCCTCACATAAAAATGTTTTTTTTTTAATTTAAAATATTTTAAAAAAGGAAAGAAAGGTGGAGCACAGAGGATTTTTAGGGCAATGAAACTATTCTGTATGATATTGTAATGGTAATCCATGTCATTATATATTTGTAAAATATATTTGTACATAGAATGTACAATACTAAGAGCGAACCCTAATGTAAAATTTACTTTGGATGATAATGATACGTCAGTGTAAGATCATCAGTTGTAACAAATGTCTTACTCTGATGCGGGATGTTGACAGTAGGGAAGGTTGTGTATGTGTGAGGAGTATACAGGAAACCTCTATACTTTCTGTTTCATTTCATGAAAACTATTCTAAAAAATAGTCCATTTAAATTGAAAAAAGAAAATAACACCTTGTACCCCAAAACGTTAGGCATGATTATATCTGGTATTTAGATTAAGTATGATTTGTTGTACTTTTCTATATTTTCCAATTCTTTAACAATGGACATTTATTTTTATAATCAGAAAAAAATACATTTTTAAAAAATGAAGTCCTGGCAGTAGGCCTTTCAACTTGAATGTTCCTAGTGTTGACATCTTACTTTATTTCCTCTTCCTGGAAGGGCCACCTGAGTGAGGGTTATGGACAGCTTTGTAGCATCTACCTCAAACTGCTGAGAACGAAGATGGAATACCACACCAAAGTGAGTCTTTGACAATTCTGCTCCCCCTACAGTCTCCTCGGCACCTCAATGACCTTAATTGTCAGGTCTTTCAGGTAATAAGAGAAAACATTTCATAGGGTGACCGTGGTCAGGCCCCGGGATGTGGCCCATGTCATCTGTACCTTTTGTTCCCCATTGTGCAATTAGAAAGAGGAATCCTATCCAGCAGTTTGCCTTATGAAAATGTTTTAAAGGCACTGACTTTACTGTTAATAAAAACAATTCTTTCATTTATATAGTGAGTTTCTACACAGAACCTTCTTTTATTCAATATATGACTTTAGTCAGTATTTCTTATGCACTTAATGATGTAAAACTGTATGCTCGGTACCAAGTGGCATATAAGAATAAGTAAAAGTGTCAGCTCTTTAGGAGTTTACAGATTCGTTGGAAAGAGAAAGCTTACGTATTTGCAATAGCTGTGTATAGTGCAAAGCAGCTGTGTGTGCCTGTGGAAAAATGCTTGAGATGTTCTGAAATGACAGAGGGTTATAGTGTCTGAAAGGATGAGATGAAGGAAGTGGGGCTTGAGATGGACCTTGAAGGATGGCTGTGTTGTTAACATGGTGGGGAAGAATGGCATGCCATGTGGGAGAAAAACCGCCCAAATTAGGGAGCTGGCAGTGGAAATGGAGAAGAGAGGCGATTTAAAAGGAAGTAACATAATTTAGTGTCTTTTATCTCCATTATCTTTTATGAGCTTGAGAGGTAGCTTTGATTCTTTGAAAACATCCTAGTCTGTTAAACCTTTTCTGTACATCGCTTAATTGTCACAATAACCCTATAAAGTAGGTATTAATTATATCCTAGGAATTCGAGACTCAGGAAGTGGTTGAATCCCTTGCCTGAGTCACATAGCTCCTCAGCGGTAAGGTGGAGATTTGACCTGTATGACACTACAGCCCGTGCCGCTTTGTGGCCTCCCTTCCCTCCCCTCACGTCTCACTGAGTGCCTGTCCAGGGCCAGAACTAGGTAGCTCTGAAGAGAGAAAGGTGAATAGACTTTGCCCCTGCAGGAATTATAATTTGGTTGGAAGAGAAGTGGTGGAGGGAGACAAGATAGTACAGTAAGGACGAGAATTGAAAGAAGCAGAAGGTGGTACAAAAGCACGTAAGGGGGTGTCTAGCCCAGACTCAGACAACCAGGTAGGCTTCTCAGAGGCAGTGACACCTGAGTTCAGTCATGAGGTATTACAGTTATCTGTGCTACGAAACACATCACCCGAAAACTTAATGGCTTGCAACAACAACAATCCTTTGTTATCTATCACACTTTTGGTTGTTCAAGAGTTCTGGAAGGGCTTGGCTAGGCAGTTCTGGCTGGAGGTCTCAGGCAGTTGAAGTCAGATACTGGTTGGAGCTGCAACAGTGTGGGGCTGGCCTGGCATCACTCTCTTCATGAAGACTCAGGGCTAATCAGGGCTTCCTCACAGCCTAGTGATTTTCCCAAGGAAACAAGGTAATAGGGCATGGCATTTTTGAAACCTAGCTCAGTAGTCACAAAGCATCCTCCCCACTGTCCTATATTGGCTGAGGCAGTCACAGAGGTCCCTAGATTCAAAGGGAAGGGACAGAGACCATATCACTCAAGGGAGAAATGTCAGAGTTACATTATAAAGAGAGCATATTTAATAGGATACATTATGGCAGCAATATTTGGAAAATAGCCTGCCCTCTGACCCCACAGTTCCCCACCATCTGTGGAATACACTCGCCCCTCCCCCAGACCTATCTGCCACATAGTGGGTAGAGGGGGAAGGGCTGACAAAAAAGGGTGGGGTAGGCATTCCAGGCAAAGGAATCAGCTGTGAACAGTAGGGTGAGGCCCAGGACACTTTGGTGTTCTGTGCATGTGGAACTTGCAGTAGATCTACATTAGTGTGTGAAACAGGCAAGGTGGAGAGCAGCAGGCGACTGGGTGGGTGCTCGAGACCATCCCAGTTGCAGAGTGGAGGGAGGACTTGGGGAGAGCCAGGCTGTTAGCATAGAAGGTGGTGAGAGCCAATTAGGACACTTATCCATGAGACAGACAGAAGATGGAACTTCCTAAAGTCTAGCAGGAAAGGAAGAGAGAAGGGGCAATAGCTAGAAGGAGATGGGGGACCATGGGAAGACTTGGGCAACAGGAAGAGGGACAGGAGTGTAGGGAGATGGAGTAGGACTTGGGGAGCTCTGGATTTTAGGCTCCGAGGAAACAGGACAGGTATGCCTGTCTCCTTGTGTCCTGTGCCTGGCCAGCATCTAGCCTAGAACAGGTGCTCAATCAGGATTTGTTGGATGAGTAAGAAAATGAACCAGAACCCAGATCGGATCCAATATACACAGGAGGGCAGATCCAGAGTTAGGGAAGAAGCAGCTCTTCTCTGTTGAAGTTAAAGGAATGGAGAGACAGCTGGGTATGGAGGGGTGAAGCAGGAAAGGGAGTGGGACGCAGGAGCTGAGGGGGTTACCAATGACGTACCAGTGATGTGCCGTCACACCAGGACGATGGCTTCTGCTGGGCACCAGGTTTGAGAGCCAGTTATTGATGGAAAGGGGAACCATCAGGCAGTGGCAAGGACACTAAGGCTAGAGAACTTGACTTAATAATGACTCCAGCTGTGAGTCCTCCAGGGACACTTGGTAGCTGATCCTAGGCACAGAGTATTGACAAAAATCCAGGCCCGCCAGGTTTAACAAGTGGAAGGACAGGCAGCAAGAAAGGTGAGGGCTTGGGGGAAGGGGCCCAGATCACCATGATTTCCAGATTGAGAGAGAAAATAAATACAGCCAGAAGGGATAGTGAGGGAACTGACTGTCTCTGAGACAGAGGAGCCAGTGGTGGGCCCGAGGGCAGGTGAGGACTGCAAAGGCAGAAGGCAGGGTGTTGTAGCCAGAGTGAGGTGCCAAAGTGGAGGGTTTCTGTCTTCAGAGCCTAAAGTATTCACACTGGAATTCAGGACCCCCCTTGCTGGACTGGTCATCTTCCTCCCTATGCCAACCTGCACCTTTCCCTTGGCCTTGGGTTCCATCCACTTCAGACAGACCACACTGAGGAGGAGATAATGGTACAGATACTCAAATGATTGATGATACAAAATAATTTCTCCTGACTTTGTGGGTGCATTATGTACTCTTTTTCTATCTTCAAGTGTATTTTATTAACTATATTTTGCTGAGGCTAATACGAGGATGGCTTTGCCTTCCCTGAAACCACAACAGCAGTTTTGGGAAATGGCCCCAGGACAGTGGGATGCCTGGGTAGGATTCAGAATGTACTGGGAATAACAAATGCTGCGCCGCCTGTGTCTCGAGGCTGGGTTAGGGCTGACTGCTCTTAGACCCTGGGTCTCACTGCCCCACAGGAGGACGTCTTTAGGAGAATATCCCAGGACACAGATTGTTAGGGGGGACCCTCTCCCGGCACCCAGGGATGGGTGGGGGCTTATCTCTGATGATGGGTAGTGGATGTTCTTTGGTGTGAGCTTTTCAAGGGGTCTGTGTGTATGTGAGGTTGTGTGCCCCGACACCATTGCCCGGGGAGAGGGTAGGCACGAACTGTACATGTACATGCCATACAAGCAGAATCAAGCCTGCTGCTGCCCGCGCTCAGTGTAGATGGCTTACTCGATGTCGGCTTAGTTGAGCTGTACAGCGAGCTCTTGAGGTGCCCTATTCTGACTTCCTTTTCCTCTTCCCTTCCAGAATCCCAGGTTCCCAGGCAACCTTCAGATGAGTGACCGGCAGCTGGACGAGGCTGGAGAGAGTGACGTTAACAACTTGTAAGTGGCTGTCCTCTTGCTTTGGACCTGCTGGAGAAGAAAGCTTTTGTAGAATCAATCACTTTCCATTAGGGTCACAGAGGGCCTGATGGTAGGGGTGGGGGCTAGGGTAGGGACTAAAGCCCCTGAGTGACTTGGCTTTGGGGCCACTTACTGATGGTGCCTCATCCAGAACCCTTCCAGGCTCTATCCTCTGTTCCCCTTCACTCTCCAAGCCCAGTGTGGTACCTGTCCTCTCCTTTTGCCACTGTCACTGGTGAGTTCCCCAGCTTGATCTTCAAATGTCCTTAATACGCACTTATGTGAGAGCTAAGAATTAGAGTGGGCGTGTTAGTGTGTGTGTGCACACGCATTAGGGGTGGAAGCAGCAGCACAGAGCACAGGGGAAGGGACAGATGAAGCGCTGACCTTGGGCTGTGGAGTCTAAGTGCCCTTTCTCCCTGGGTCCAGCTTCCAGCTAACAGTGGAGATGTTCGACTACCTGGAGTGTGAACTTAACCTCTTCCAAACTGGTGAGTCTCTCCCTCCCATTTGGCCCAGGCTTTCATGGGAACTGCCTAATTACCAGCCTTGACTCCCGCTTAGACTAGCCGTCCTGGCCCTGCTCCCCATAGGGCCAGGAAAATAGAGCCTGAGGGCCACACCCTGTCTCTGTCCCTTGTTCAGGGAGGGGCTGAAGCTCTTGGACATTTTCAGAGTCAGTGATTTCATATCTGAACAGAAAGACCACACTCCCTATGCTGTTGGCTTCTCTCCTGAAGGCCAGGCCTCCAACAGCCCAAAGACAGGCCCAACCAACCTCTGTGACTGTGGCCCCAACACTGACTGGTCCTTTGGCCCAGCCCTGTCTGCTACTCAGCTGGGCCAGCACTCAGGCTGAATTTCTGCTCTGGAAGAAGGGCTGCTGCTTGCTGTTTCGTTGATAGCCAGGGAGAAAGCAGGTCAAGTTGAGTTGAGTTTTTACCAGAGTCCACATAAGAAGCCCACTAAGTCCTAATTCCCTAGTGGGGGAGCACTTCCAGGCTCCCTCCTGCTGAGAGTTCTGGTGCCTCCAGGCCGCCAGCCCCTAACACTTCACTGAAGAGCCAACTCTCTAAGATTCAAGATATACCATCACAAGTGTCCAACTCTATAAAAGTGCATTCTAAACTGCAAGTATTTGTGCACAAGCTTGGAGACCTTCTTGGCATTTGGACATGCAGAGCCTACTCTTGGGGCTTTGCTTTTCCCATGAAAGACAGAAACTCACCCTAAAACGCACTTTGTTCAGCATGTTCATCTGTGCAGCAAATATAACTGGCTGATTACATTCCAGCCCTGTACAAGGCCTGTGACAAAGTGGCAAATTCCTTAATATTTTGACCAATCAGTTCAGTGCAAGACGTGATCAGAGGAACACCAGAAACAGCTGGAAACTGGTTTGTAGGAGAAATAAGGTACTTGTTTGAGCAAGGCCTTCCACAAAAGTCGGTAGAGAAGTAAAAATGAAACAAAATACAGCCCCTGCTCTAAGGCATTCCGAGCAAGGTAGGAGAAATGATATAGAAGCATTTTTGGCTTAGTTTTTAATGCATTGGAAATGTTTTCATAAAAGTATACAAACAACTACATATTGTTACAGCTAACTTTCAGTTATTTAGCTTTGGGCAGGAAAGGCCTATGTGGATAATTCAGAATTCATTGACATTCAGCTTTGGAATGTGCTTAATCTGAATGCAGGTATAAGTGATATTCTTGGAATTGCCATCCTTGGGAGAGTACAGTCTAGAAGTCACCCCTCAGCCTACCTCCTTCTCAGAGTCTACCTGGCACTGCAGCAGTGGTTGGGGAAAATAAGGCAAATGTTTCAGGCTTTTCAGTTGTCCCTTCCAGCTCCTGACACTGTTGGAGTAAGCGGAGGTGTGATAACACCCACCAGGATGTGGGGTGGCTGGGAGAATGAGTATGTGGTGAAGGCAAATGCCCCACCACACATGGCCAGCTTGCTCCCACCTCCTGATACCTGGCTCTGTTTTTATCCGCATTTTTCACTTATATTATTAACACTAGATGCTGAGCCCCTCCTCAGAATCAGGAACCATACCCTATCTATCTATGTTCTAGCCCAGTACCCGGTCTGTAGCAAGCAGTCAACGACAAAGTTCAAGAATACCTGCCTTAGATGAGCACCAGTGAAGAAACAGCAGGTGAACAGGGTTCATAAAATGGTGTCAGCATCCAGCTGAATGCTCCGGGATTATCTAGGGGAATTAGCTACTTAGAGTTTTCTAGAGGAGTGCTACCCGAGTCTTGGCCCAAAGACCGATTTAGAATCAAGAGCCCTTTTCTACATGTCTCTTTCGCCACCCTCCTCATCCCCAGTCACCTACAGTGTGACACAGATCATGAGGGCTGGTGTCAGAAGAAGTCTCTCTAGCTTCTGAGTTGAAGTGTGCGACCCTGCAAGTTTCGACCCATATCCTCGGTGGGTGTCACTGGTTTTCAGCTGTGGGAAACTTGGGCCAATTACATTTTAACTTTTATTGTGATCACTTGAGGTGGTTCTCGAAGTGTGGTCTCTAGACCAGCAGCATCAGCATTACCTGAGAATTTGTTAGAAAAGCAAATGCTCGGGTCCCACCCCAGACACAATGAATCTGGGGATGGAAAATCAGTGTTTTAATAAAACCCCTAGGTCTGCACTGTCCAATATGGCAGCCACTAGCCACGTGTGACTATTTAAATTAATTACAGTTAATGACATTAAAAAGTCAGATCCTCAGTTGCACTAGCCATTTTTTAGGTACTCAGTAGCCACATGTGGCTAACATTGGACAGCACCTATGGAACACTTCTATTATCACAGAATTCAACAGTGCTACCCAGTGATTCTGATGCATGCTAAAGTTTAAGAACCACTGAGCTAGGAAATACAGCTTTCAACGCTGGCTGCATAGTAAAATCACCTGTGGGACTTTTGAAACCTACTGATCCTCCAGTCTTACTCCAGTCTTACTTTAATTACTTTCTACTAATTAAAGTAGAAAGGGGTTGTGGGGGAGTTGCAGGCAGACAGTAGTAGTTTTTAAATTTGCCGGGATGATTCTAATCAATCTCCAAGCCAAAGTTGAGAACCACTGCACAAAGCTACACACTTTATACAACATTCTCATTTAATTTTTACCAGACCCTTATGCAGTATGTGCTATTAGATCCATCTGCATTTTACAGAAAAGCATCTGGAGACACAGAGAGCTTGAGTAACTTGTCCATGGTCACACTGCTCTAGATGTTCCTGGATGCCAAGGGACGTTCCTGGAAAGCAGCAGCAGGCCGGGAGATGGAGCAGTTTGTGATTCCTTGCCAGAGTGGAGGCTAAGGAAGCCAGTAGACTTGGGGATAGCCACCTTGCAGTGACAGCTGCTTTTCATTTGTGTCAAGAGGAAAGGCTGCCTTTTAATTAGAACCGTTTGGGATTTTTTAATTTTTTTTTTCAGCTGCCAGACTGAGCCAGTTAATGGGTTAGTGCAGTCAGGGAATGCTGAGCACGGCAGCTCTGGGCCTTCCTCTGGGGCAGTCCCACTCACTGAGGGCCTGCAGGAGAAGTCTCTCATTGCCAGCCACGTGTGGAATCTCCGGAGGTGGTAGACAGCTGCTGCAGGCAGGAAATCGGCCCTGGCCAATGGTGTGCTCTGAGGGTCCACAGCCAGGCATCCAGTTGCTTTGTTTAGGAGCAAGAGGCAGGGGGTTTCATGTGGAGGGGTCTCTGAAGCAAGACACCGGGGAGCAATGTGCTCTCTGGAGCTTGGGAGAATGGAGGGAAGTACTTTTGTTGACCTGCTCCCCCACGAACCTCCATCAGCTTTTTGATCCTGATGGTCATCCTCCTCCCAGCCCCCGGCCTTGGTCCTCATAGGCTCTCTAGTCATCCACCCAGGGCTCTTGCACATCCCCCCCTTTGCTGTCCCAACAACCTTGTGACAAACCATCATAAAGCCAAGGCTGACTTATTCTCTTCCTCGTGTTCTGATTAATGTTTGTCTTTCCCCATATGTTAACCATTGCCACCACCAGGTGGGGTGCTTCTCAGGGTCACGGTTACCGTCAGACTGAGTTCATGCGTGAGAGGAAGGGCTAGATTGGCTATCTCAGCACCCTCTTTCAATCTTAAAATTCTAATCACCCATAAAACTGAAGCCTTCCCTTCAATAAGAGCTCATCTCCCCATTAAGTCAGAAACTCTAAAAAAATGGTTTCAGTCTTTCTGATCAGCCTGGGGGCAGAGGCCACAAGACTCCTCAAAGACAAGAGGGAAGATATTCTCCTCATCCAGGCGCTCCCTCAGGCTGTGGGTAAATCTCCTCTTTCCTGGGCTTCCACAGGGCTGTGCAGAGAGAATAGCAGAGTCCACTTGTAACTGATCCGTGGAGCATCTTGGCCGACAGGAGCTCAGGCTCCTAGTCTAGCCATGGCTGGCCACATGGCCATTTTAACTCGCCACCTCTCAGCAAAACCACTTAACTTTGTAACCACCTTCAAGTCACTTACCTTCAGCTTCCTCAACTATGGAACAGGGGTACCTTTAACCTATCATGTAGGAGTGGTTAAGGGTAAAATGCATTAAACGAGATAGTGCATGCACGGAGTAGGTGATCGGTATATGTGAGGCCCCAGCTTTCTGCCCCTCTGAGAAGGTCGCCGGTAGGTTCCTAGCTCCAGCGCCTCTTTCC